CCCCCCCCCCGCTCTCCTCTCGCTCTCCTCCTCCTCCTCGCTCCTCATCGTCCCTCAACCCATCTCATGCACGACATGTATGATGACCAGTAGCATGGGCATGCACGCGAGTCGGGGCGATCCTCGGCTCCATCCTGGCGCCGGCCGCGGCCTTTTCGCCGAGCTAGACGACCAGCCGGCCAGCGGCCTCCCTCTGGCGCGGCTGGAGGACATTCTCGGGCTGTACCCCGGCGAGCGGCTGTTGTCGATTGCCTTCCGCGTGGTGCATCTTTGCCCGTATGACGGCCCGATCGGGGGGACGCTCTTCCAAACCTGCTTTCGGATGATCTTCTGCAATGCGTCGGACACCTCGCCCCATGGGCGCAAGTACTTCGACGTGCGCCCCCTGAATGGCCGAACCTGGCAAGCACTGCTCGTAAGGATGGCGGACCTCGGCATTTGCCGGCTGCCCAATGACTGACCCTCGGCCTTTGTCGCTGCCACCGCCTCTCCCCCCTCTGCCTACTGCCCTTGTGCACGTCCAATCCCCCTTCCCCAGTGGAAGGGCCATGGCTTTTCCACGGTCACCTGCCCGATTCCCGGCCCGGAGATTCCCTATGGCGTCGTGCAGAAGATCTCGCTGGCTCCAACCCCGGGGTCGGGGCTGGCCCCGGTGCTGGCGGCGGCCGCCGAGGCCGGGCCCCTGCCAACCGGCCTGCACACATCGCACTTCTACCTGCTCCCGGCGGATGAGGATGGCAGCTCGGCCGATGACATGGGCAATGGCACCTTCTGGACCGAGTCCATCCACACGGGCCTCGAGGAAGTGGTGCTGGTCGGCCCGACAAGCGGCGATCCGGCGGCCCTGGCGGCAATGCCGTCCGCCAACTCGGGCTCCAGCGGCCGCGCGCCGCTTGGGCGTCCGGAAAAAGTGGGGTTTTCCCTGCGCTGCGCCGATTTCCGGGTCCATGAGTTTCGCCTGGTGCCGTGGCAATTTTACGAACATGTCCTTCGATGTGGCTTCCCGCTTACGGCAGGGTCATCCGGGCCAGGCGGCGCTGGCGGCGCCGGGGCCCCCGCCACCGGGCCAGGGCAGGGCACGGCGGCCCCCTCTGCCCCGGCGGTGTCCAGCTCCACCGGGCCCGGGACCGGGGCCTACCAGCCACGGGCTCTCTTTGCCTTCCGCTTCCAGCCGGCCTACCAGAACCCGGACGATTGGCGGCGGTATTCCGGCGAGCGGGATCTCGAGCGCGTGCTCGGCACGGATCCTCGAGTGGCGGTAGCCCGATCGGCCGAGCGATCGCCCCTGGTCCGCGCGCATCTCCCGGCACACCAGCCGAACGGCGCGTGGCGCATTTCGACGGCCAATGCCGAGCCGGAGCATGCCATCTGCGGGACATATTGCACGCGCCTCGGGGTGCCGGCGGCCATTGATGACGAGCAGCTGGCCCGGGCGGCCAGCTTCCGGTCGAAGTCCCGGGTGCCGATCCTTTCTTGGCTCCATCCGCTCAATGGGGCCTCGCTGACCCGGTGCAGCCAGCCGAATGTCGGGCTCCTGGGGAACATGCATCCCGATGATGAGACGTACTTGAATTTGCTCGGCGAGCTGGCCGCCTGTGCCCATGGGAATCTGGCCACCCAGTATGAGCACCGGCTGATGCAGCAGGCGACCGGGCGGCCGCGTGCGCCGGTGACCAATCCGCCGGTCGCCACCCAGGAGGCACTGTCGGTCGACTCGGGCGCCTTCTCGCTGCCTGCCAGCGAAGCGTCCCCGGTGACCAGTTCCCTGACGGCCAGTGCCTCCTTCTCGGGGATGGAGGACCTGTCGGACATGCTTTCCTCCATGATCACCCGGACCGGTGGGTCAGCCGAGGCCGATGCCATGATGGCCGGCTTGGCCGGTGGGAATAATGCCGCAGGAGCCACCCCGGTGCCGGATGTGCCCCTGATGATCATGGATGCCAGGCCGCAGTTGAATGCCATCGCCAACCAGGCCAAGGGTGCTGGCTATGAGCGAGTCAGCTTCTATCGGTCAGCGCGGCTGGTGTTTCTGGGCATCGACAATATCCATGTCATGTCTGGGTCCATTCGGCGGATGTTGAATTTGTGCTTCCCCTTCGATTCGGTGCTCGAGGGGGCGGCCGTGTGGCAGACAAGTGGCGGTGTGCTTGCCGCTCGGTCATCGGATGCCATGGAGCCGGGCATCGGCCCCGGGGGCGGTGGCGAGGCTCCGGTGGCCGGGCCACCGGCGCCGACAGACACCCCCCTGGAGCCGGGCGAGCATCTGGTGGTGGGCAATGCCCCGCCGGGTGTGTCGGCGGCCGCGCTGCCGGGCGGCGGGCACTTCGGGCCGGAGTTCCGCCGCTCGCGGTTGGACTTCCACTCGCGAGTCGAGGCCACCCGGTGGCTGGACTACGTGCAATTGCTGCTGGCCTCGGCGGTGACCATTGCCGATCACCTGAATCGCGACGCGTACCCGGTGCTGGTCCATTGCTCCGACGGGTGGGACCGGACATCGCAATTGTGCGCCCTGTCCATGTTGCTGCTGGACCCGGAGTACCGGACCATTCAGGGGTTCGCGCGGCTCGTGGCCAAGGAGTGGACCGGCGCCGGGCACAAGTTCGCCCACCGGCTGGGCTATGCCAATCGCACGCAGAGCAATGAGCGCTCGCCGATTTTCCTGCAGTTCCTGGACTCGGTGCACCAGCTGCTGGTGCAGTTCCCGGCGGCCTTCGAGTTTCGGATTGAATTGCTGGTCTTCCTGGCCGACGAGGCGCTGGCCTGTCGGTTCGGGGACTTTCTCTTCAATTGCGACCGCGAGCGCCATGAGCATGGTGTCTTCCGGCAAACGTGCTCCCTGTGGTCGTATGTGCTTGGCACGCGTGAGGGCTTGGAGCGCTTCCGGAACCCGGTGTATGCCCTGGTGCCGGGGGTTCTCCGTCCCTCGACCGCGGCCCGGCGCTTGCGGCTGTGGGCCGAATTTTACCTCCGCTGGTCTCCGGTGCTTGGTGAAACCGTCAGCCGGGCAACGCGCCAATCGGCGGATCGCCTGGCCGTCATGCGTGCCGCTGTCGAGGCCATGGAGCGTGCCGCGGGTGTTGTCGGCGTGTGATGCGATGCCGTGCGTGGGCCGCGCCCCCCTCCTCCGTATAGATCGCCTGGATCGGCTCTGTTTGCTGTGTGCATGCTCGGGGGGCGGGGGGGGATGCGGGGG